CCAAATAATTACAAACGAGTACACCTGACCACGTGAGCAGAGAAAGTGCCATGTCGGCGCAAAACTCCATGTCATACTGCTTCAAAGCATTAGGCACCCATTGACCAAGCTTTCGCACCTTGCCGTTGACTGCAATCCACGAATAATTGTGGACTGACTCCCCAAGAGTGACTGCCAGTTCACGAGTAGTTTGACACGGATTCCACCTGGCTCCGCAACACGTCCAAATCCAACTCCATTGAGCGTCCCGGACGGTCTTCATTTCCCATGGAATGGTCGTCCGACGTGAACTTCGTGTGCCACTTGTGAATTGTGCATCCTTGTAAACTTCCTCAAGACGCCTATCGATCTCCGCGGGTTCTTGGCCAGATAAAAAAAGAAATAGGATGGTGTTGCGGAGGTGGAGTTGCGACGGCTTGAAATCATAGGGCATGGTTGCAGGAGAGGAAACAGATGTGTTTGTTAGCATTTATTTTGAAGAGCTTTTTATGCTCTATTTAACAATGCTACGCGCGTCCATTTTCGTCTCCTCTTTCCCGAGTTATGATCTCTAGAAATCATCGCTATCATTTTGTCCGAGGACTTATGTCTCAACCTAATACTTCTCTTATGGGTTCACAAAAAAGGATATGAAATGAACTAAGTTATTCGAATACTTTCTTAGCTCAAACAGAACGGAGATGGCAATTTATTCATAGAAGAAAACTTGCAATAGACGTCGAAGGCAAGGCATTATGCGAAATAAGCTAGAAGACTTGACACTTCGAGATGAGTAGACCTTAAAACCCCTGGTCTACTCACAAAAAAAATGAAAAAAACTTTGATGAAGACTTCAAATAAAGATGGGGACGGATGCAACTAAAAATGAAAGATTTTTTCAGAGGCCATTTTCACCTAGTCAAGTCATTTTTAATAGCATGTCAGGAATTAAAGAATAATACAAAAGAGGAGAAGCGAAAAAAGGTCGAAGAAACGGTCTGGAGCATTAGGATCGATCGATTTGGATAGTGGGAACAAAGTCCACACTTTAAGTCGATCGTGCTCGAGCGGCCTGCGCGCTGGAGCAAGTTATTCGTGCTTTTTGAGCACTTTAATCGAGGCAGTTGTGGACAGCCGGGTTTCCTGCACGAATTCTACTATTATTTCGATTTCGAAAGAAGTTTAATTCATGTAACTCCTATATTCGAGGAGTTATAATTGGAACGTTTTCACCCATTCAGTCANGTCCCCTTCTTCCTGTATTTCGCAGATGAAAATATAATAGTTGTATTTGAACCCGAGCAGACCTTTCGTAGGCTCATCGTATGACCATTTATGAATGAAATTCATCAACAAGAAAGAACGCATATACATATACTCCATCGAACCACTCTATCAAAAATTTCATTTGCAGCTACATAGTTACCTCAGAAATCAGATTTGAGGCAATTCTGTTCGAATAAATGAAAATGGCACCAACACTCAGACATGTAAATAGGCCGACTTGGATGGAGGATCTTGATAGCCCGTAGGAGAATTCAAAACAGAAGTACAGCCAGGACAGCAAGCACTTTGAATACACAGTGGCCATTCTTGGCATCCCAGGGTTCCTTAGCTCAAACAATTTATGTCCGATTGCTTAAAATTTCTCCCCACATGTTCTATCTCGTTATGCTCTTCACTGCCACTACAACAGCGGGTAATCTCAGTTTCATTTGGATGGAACTGGATGGAGCTGGGATGGACCGCTAAGGTAGTGGCGATGAGGAGCATGATGCCCTCGAATGCCACTTCCCAGAAATGTGAATGGAAGATTTGATACGACCTAAGCAGAACTTTTATGCTTTTTCGAGATCTTTCAAGAAACGAGGCTGAGAAGAGTTCAAGTGAGTTCACTGAGACGTATAAGAAATATAAAACGTGGAAAGTTAGATCGCTGACGCTCTAAGAAGTGATTGGAATCATACACCACATGTATAGTGAAGAAGGAAGCAATTCAGAATGAAGAATGCATTTGTGATACTAAA